CCTTCAAGTCAACTGTCTGGTTGAGCCGCTGGTAGTCACTGGGTTTACCTTGGTTGGCGTAAACCAGTTTTCCCTGGAACCCAATCAGAGTCACTGTTATGAGGACATAAACCTTTTATATCAGAATGTCTAAGTAATACAAGGTACCTTAGAAGTATTTTCCTCATAAGAATATATTCACAAATAATACCAAAACTGAATTTCATTTGAATTCAGTATTTAATTCATTTACAACAAAGCATTTCAGAACTGCTTTTTTAAGGACAGAAATATTGCTTTCATAGTGTAGTGGTTAGCACGTCTGCCTTACACACAGAGAGTTCTTGGTTCAATTCCCAAAAGAACAACATGCTTGATTATTAGTATTAATGCATAAACGTGGAAAACTTTTTTTTCTGAAAGATGTCATCAAGAACGATATATTTCTGCTGTAAAAGCTTGTTTTTTGGTCAATTTTTAATGTTTCATGTTTTTGTCTTTTCCTCTTGAAATGTCATATAAAAAGTCAAACATCAACGTGTTGTTGTCTCTTTTAATCTGATTTAAACCACGGTGTCATCCCAGGCATAAAACTAAAGGCATAGTACTAAATTCATAAAATCATTTGGTTTGTTCTCATAAACGCTGGTCCTGTCTTTTATTTGCTGTCACTCATTGACTTGTCGGAGGTCTAAGATTTTCCAGCTCCTCTCTTCCTGGACTAACGTGGACCACTGACTGTCCATTGTGTCTGTGTGATCAATGACAGGTGAACGTCCTCCTTATCTGTCACTTATCTTTTACAGAATGTGAGAAATGACCTGCGAGGATTACTGGAGGTCAGAGGGCGCTCCGATTCTGGGAAGTGTCACGAACCTGAGGCCGGTTATGGTTTAAGTAAATTATTTCTGCCTCAAACACAGAGTAGCTTCGTCTTTTATCTGATCACATGACCTGGTAATAACTGCACCTGAAGTGACTTCTGTGTTTAATAACTGCACCTGAAGTGACTTCTGTTCTCAGGCAGCTTCTTTCTATTATCACGATTAATCATGATTAATTGTGATTAATCATGATTGTCATGAAACATAAATAGTTATGCTTAATTATGATTGCAATTAATCATGATTAATTATGATTACGATTAATCGCGATTAATCATGATTAATTCACAGCTAGTCTTTGATTATTGATTAAAAATGTAATTGTTTCACAGCCCTAAAAACAATATTTAGCATCTGCGTCTGTGTCAATGTAAGAATCGTTTTTCACCTTCACATGTCCTGCAGGCGAGTACGCAGCATAAGTTTGAACCACCGTAGGATGTATCTGGTCTTCTTTGTAAGGCTTCTCCTTCTTTCTGGCCGTGTACAGCACAGTATTCGATGAGTCCACTGAAATATTAATATTTTATGTTATGTTATTATATGTTATGTTATAGCCCAAACCAATACATTAAACTGTTCACGATGCCTTCAGTGTCTCTGTGTGTCGTTGGTACTCACAGGAGAGGTTGAAGACTCACCTACGGTGACCTTTTGGGCTTCGCAGGGTAGGGAAGGTAGACCTTGTACTCTTCTCTCCATGTCTGGTCCAGACCTGATTCAGGATCTCCCCATCTCTCCAGCAGAAGCTTCACCGTCTGCTCATCTCTGGCTGTCGTAGTCATGTGTGGCACTTTTGTCAACTCCCTGTGAAACACCCCCAGGATTTAGAATAATTCTAAAAAATCTCCAATATTACACCCCCCCCTTTTTTTAGAAAATATTTTTGGAATGCGTTGAACCTGAATTAGTGACCCAATGTAGCCCAGACATGAGGATGTCTCTACGTACTTTAGGTTCGGACAGGAATTCCTGGATGAGGCCCTCGTCCACATCTTGTGCCACATCCTTCACCCAGGATGGTAATGAGTTGCTGCTGCTCTTGGTGAACACGACGGCACTGCAAAGAAGCTCCAGACATACTATTTTTATCATTCTTCTGTTGAGGATGGAAACACTGGGGAAAAATCCTCCAGGTTCTGTGGGGTTTTGTGGGGGATTAATTCTTTATGATTCCATGATATAAGGAAAAAAGATTAGAGCTGAGAGTGATGGTGAATGAACTCTGCAGGACTAGAGTCAGCGTCAAACTGACCAGTAATGTGTAGTACTACCACAGTGAAGTTTAGTTATTACTGTTTGCAGATGGGATGGACTTTATACCTGTGTGTGTGTGTGTAAAAAAATAAACGAATCTTTCAAAAATAAACGAATCTTTCATATGACTCCCAAGTCATATGAAAGATTTGTTCATATTGAACTCACGAATCACTCACAAATCACTCACTGCGAACTAATCACTTACTGCGAACTAATCAGTCGAATCACGCTCTGTAAACTAATCTTTCACTGTGAACTAATCTTTCGCTGTGAACTAATCTTTCACTATGAACAAATGACTCTCCGTGAACTAATCTTTCGTCGTGAACTAATCTTTCACTATAAACGAATCACTCTCCGTGAACTAATCTTTCGCTGTGAACTAATCGTTCACTATGAACGAATCACTCTCCGTGAACTAATCTTTCGCTGTGAACTAATCGTTCACTATTAACGAATCACTCTCTGTGAACTAATCTTTCGCTTCGTTCTTGCAGATTCGTTTCATTTGTCACGTGACAGAGAGCTCGGGTCTCATTTGCGCTCATTCATCGTCACATTGTGGTGTGTTTTTCTTTATGTTTTCACATGGTTTAATTGCTTATGGTATTTTGTGTACTTTTTAGACTTTATCAGCAGAAGCAAACCAGAACCACAGCCTTCTTTACAACGCCCACAATAGGGCTAAAGCGCCACCTGCTGTAAAACGAATGAAAATATTCGTTCAAGATTCGTTCACGACGCGTTCATTTTACAGTTCGAGAGTCAAAGATCCGAATCAGTAAAAAGAGTCGGTCTTCCCATCACTATGCAGTGCACCACCATTACGTTTCACTTTCATTCTTCACTGTTCTGTTTTTGGAAGGCGTCGAGGTAAGTTTAAATAACTTAACACGACGTATTATCGCCAATTTACATCAGATCTTGCTTTTTGTAAATATTTCTTTATAAAGATATGACAGCTTTTCACCGTGTGTTGTTTTAAATTCAAATGTGTATTTTTTTTTCATTTCCCTAAGTTTGAACTGGTTTGAACTGCTTTTATCAGAATCGGTTGAAGACCGATTTTGAAGCCTACTATACTTAAAACTTTAGTACAATACAAATACAAAAAGTAAAAAGACATAAATGAACGAAAAACAATACTCATTATTTCAACATCCAAAGAAAGTAGAAACTCATAGAAGTTGGGTATTTTTGTTAAACTTACGCAGCCGTAATTGAACCTAGAAATACTAATGACTCCTTTTGTTTTGTTTCAGATGAGAGGAGGTGAAGTACTTTCTCTCAACATGTTAGTGACTCCTGTCCTGCTGCTCCTCTTCTCTTCCTTCCACACTATATCTGTGGCACGGCTGCCAAACCAGGACCAGATAAAGACCCTCCCATCGCCACCAATGGTCAACCCTGGGATTGCATGCGACTCCCCAAAACTGTCTCTCCGGTCCACTATGACCTCAGGATTCACCCCAACCTGACCTCTCTGAACTTCTCCGGATCCGTCTACATTAGCCTGGATATACACGAGGACATGAGTAGCATCATTCTCCATGCTAAGAAGATAAGCAGATCTCAAATGTGCGACTCCTGGCACCCGAGGGCATCAGGCCTCTGCGCATGCTGGAGTATCCTGGTTTCCATCAGCTCACGCTGCTGTCCGATTCCCCCTTGACAAAAGGACAAAAGTATGTAGTCCAGTTGGACTTTGCTGCCAATCTGTCCGACAGCTTCCGTGGTTTCTACAAGGGCAGCTACCGCACCAGCAGTGGAGAAGTCTGGTAAAAGAAAAACAATAAATCCCCTCACCTTTTAGTATTACAATTTTTGTTTCCCTAACTTGAGACAAATGTATTTGCTATTCCAGGGTCCTGGCATCGACACAGTTCGAAGCCACGTTTACTCGTGGAGCCTTTCCCTGTTTTGACGAACCAGCTTTCAAAGCCAACTTCACCGTACGAATCATACGTGAGCCGCAGCACATTACGATATCCAACATGCCCAAGGTAAGACGATGAAAACTAGCATGAAGATTTTTTTTTTTAAAGATGCACAGATTTACAAAATGTTATCAACAACAGATTAAAACAGTGAAGTTGTCAGGAGGTTTGCTGGAGGATTATTTTGACACCACAGTGAAAATGAGCACATACCTGCTGGCTTACATAGTCTGTGATTTCCTGTCTGCGAGTAGGACCACCAACCGTGGTGTCAAGGTAAGGACTTGCAACATAATATTAGCATCTATCACAAACTAAAACTCACATAGAAGCTAAATGTGTTTGTGTCTGGTCAGATTTCAGCCTATGCTTTGCCTGAGAAGATCAACCAGACGGCCTTTGCTCTGTATGCTGCTGTTAAGCTGTTGGACTTCTACGAAGACTACTTTGACATTCCTTATCCACTTCTTAAACAAGGTCTGTAGGGATAGATATTACAAACACTCAGGTACTTTGTCAACACTGAGTTTCTGTGTTCCTCAAGACCAGACTTAGTCTAGATCAGGGGTCACCAACATGGTACCCGGGGGCACCTGGTAGCCCCCCTGGACTACCTGAGTCGCCCGCTGGGTGTGTTCTAAAAATAGGTTCTTACAGAAGAGTGAAGTGTATATATTTTGTTTAACTATACTGTAGATCTGGCTGCCATTCCTGACTTCCAGTCAGGGGCGATGGAGAATTGGGGGCTGACCACTTACAGAGAGGCAGGCCTTATTTGACCCTGAAAAGTCATCAGCTTCAGACAAGCTCAGCATTGTCAAGGTCATCGCTCACGAGCTAGCACACCAGATACTGTACCTGCTTTGTTTTTGGTCCAATCCTATGAGATAGAGAATATTCCAACCTTCGCTCACAAGTGTTGTTTCACCTGTGCAGTGGTTTGGGAATCTGGTGACGATGGAGTGGTGGAATGACCTGTGGCTCAATGAGGGTTTTGCCAAATTCATGGAGTTTATTTCTGTAGACGTCACCTACCCAGAGCTACATGTGGTAAGTGTAGAAAACCACTTTGACCTCCAGACTGGTTTTTGCTAATACATGCATGTAAACTAGTCTTGTTCCTTCTCCCAGGAGGACCTCTTCTTGGGGAAATGTTTTGAGGCGATGGAGGTTGACTCCCTCAGCTCTTCCCACCCGTCTGCACCCCTGTGGAGAACCCAGTCCAGATCCAGGAGATGTTTGATGACGTCTCCTACGACAAGGTCCAGATCAACTGAACAAACACATATATGTTGATATGCAAAAACAAAAACATGTACGTGTGTCTTCCAGAGAACTTGTATCCTCCACATGCTGAGAGACTTTCTGACACCAGAGGTGTTTGAGATCAGAATCATCAAATACCTGAAATGCTAGAGTTACAAAAACACAGTCAACGGCCACCTGTGGGAGAGCCTGACTGATGTGAGTCACGTCGGAAATGAATCATCTACTGTATATATATATATATATATATAATATACATATATTACATATATAAATATATGTATATATGTATGTATAAATAGTATAAATATATATACATACATACACAGGTGTCTGTATATATATATATATTTATACTGTATATATAAATATATATACAATATATATGCAATATATGTGATTAATGTGATTTAAAACTATGTGAACCATTGTTATTCTCGATTTAATTTTCATTTTATCTGTAGGTGTTACATTTGAAACGTAGTTACAATTAGTTACACGTGTCTCCTATTTATTTTTATAGATGAGTATCACTTTCATTTTTAGAGATAGAAAATAACTTAGTTCAACAACAACAACATCAGGTGATGTGCAAGGATTTAATTTGAGGATTTGTGTCGACACGAGCAGAAATGGTTCTCTGGTGAGGAGCTGGACGTCAAGGCCATCATGGACACCTGGACCCTTCAGGAGGGCTTCCCACTAGTCACTGTCGAGGTTAGAGGGCGGGAGGTCAGGCTCAGTCAGGAACGTTATCTCAAATCAGACGACCCGTCCCTCACTGATGGGTGAGTTATTATGTAAACACTGTATTCAAAAATAGTTCACCTGAATGGTCAGCTTTTCTCCTATTGGTGGAGGCCGGCGTTGCTTTCTTCGACATTGAGACAGAAGTTGTATTTTATTAACCTCATTGTTTACAAGTTTTTAAATCTGTTTGTTAGTTTTTTTCCTTGTTCTTCTAACGTGAACTGTTTGACACTTATTAACTTTTATAACTTTATGTGTCCTTCTCTGACTTTGTGAGTTCAATAATTTTTCATGCGTGGAGGTTTCCACTCTTCTGTCCCTGTCTGTACTTTAGTACTCAAGTAAAACTTTAGCCTCGCTTTTTATTTTGACTGCTAGTGCATTTTGGATTTATGTGTTTACAAAGACAATAATAAGAGTAAGATCTTTTTTTCTTCCTACATTAAAGGAATAAATATATATGTATTTATATATGTATGTATAAATGTATATATATGACAAACGATAATGAACAAAAATATATGTCACATATGTGTATGTATGTACATATGTGTGTGCAATTACACTATATTACCAAAAGTATTCGCTCACCCGTTCAAATGATCAGAATCAGGTGTCCTAATCCCTTGGCCTGGCCACAGGTGTATAAAATCAAGCACTCAGGCATGCAGACTGTGAAACAAGACATTTGTGAAAGAATGGGCCGCTCTCAGGAGCTCAGTGAATTCCAGCGTGGAACTGTCATAGGATGCCACCTGTGCAACAAATCCAGTCGTGAAATTTCCTCGCTCCTAAATATTCCACAGTCAACTGTCAGCTCTA